GCTTTGCTAAGCTTGTTCTAAGTAGGTGCTTTAGACCACTGAGCCATCTCACCAGCCCATATACTTGTTTTCAGAAGTAAGAATAAAATATCTTTCTTCTACTGCAAATACGCCTATATTGATAGAACCTGTGGGCAAGGTGATACAGGCCTGTAATCTCATCATACTGGGAGGCTGAGGCAGGAGAATGGCTAGTTTCAGCTCAGCCTGTGTGTTGAGTAACTAAGTGAGACCATGTCTCAAAATAAGAGGATTAGAGATGTAACTCATTGCAAAGGCCCAATACTGCCAAAGTAATTTTTTGAAAACAATTTTTAAAAGATAAAAACTGCTGAAATTGAGGTTTCCTGGAGAACTTGTTAGTATGACCCTAAAAATTCAAATACATAGTCATCATGACATATGTAACATGTTCATTAAATAAGTTTCAGGTGTTTGCCATATAGTTTATTTGCTAGAAAAACAAACATGTACATAGTACATTTATATAATTTCTGGTGTTTGCACTTTATTTTTCATAGTGGAATAAAAAAATAGAAATAACAAATATAACCAAGTGTTTACTTTGGGTGTTTTTGTTTGTTCACTTTTTTCAAATGCTGCTTATTAACTGCAAATCATTTAATATTTTTATAAAATGAAAAATGCAACTAATTTGTCTTAACTCTGATGAATTTAAGTGAATTAGTGCTGCCTTTTTCATAGATAAATTCTTATTCTCTTTTACTTTATTAGTTTGTGTAAATATTTGATTATGTCACCACAGTTTTCTCTTAGTTGAACAAGAGCATCATATTTGTTGTTTAGTATTTTTAGGGCTTTTTCTTTTCAGTATAGGGGATCGAACTCAGGACTGTGGGCTTGCCAGGCAGACACTTGTGCTGCTGAGCTGTCTCCCCAGTCCTTTTAGGGAATTACCTACATATAAGACATTAAGAGAGGTGGTATTAAGAGAGGTGGTCCAAACTTTCAAGGCTTATAATTTAGATATTAGAGTACATGTAGTTATGATCTGTACATAGTAGATGATAAATGAATAGACAGTGCCTTTTCAGGTACTAAAGATGAGTTGGTTATAAAAAGTTTCACAAAAGATGAAGATATGAGACCTTAAACGCAAACAGAATGTTAAGATTACATTGTAGGTATGAAGCTAAGACACAGATAACTTTTTGTGTTTATATGGTAGCTTTTTTTTGCTTTTTTATTAGCAATATTTTATTTTGTGATTTTTTTTTTCTGGGTAAGTACTCACTGTTTAATAAAACTTATAAAATGAAAATTACTGAGCAATAGAAATACTCTAAAGAAAAACATGGATCTGACACATTTATATACCTTGACAAAAATCAGTTTTATGCTCTACGGGCTATTAAGGATTTTTTTTTTTTCTCCGAATGCCTTCAGGGCAGGTTTGGCTGGCTGGAGTTGTGGGGATCCAACTACAGCAACCTGAGGCTGACAGCTTTGTGAAAGCAGCCACTTAACGAACTAAGCTAGGGCCACGCCCCCTGTGGTAGCTTTTTATATTATTTTTTATTATGTATTTGGTTGTTTGAGGGTTTCACTACACAGCTCAGACTCATGGCGATTCTCTTGCTTTCAGCCTCCCCAGTGCTGGGATTACAGGTGTGCACCACCACACCCAGACTCTGGCCATCTCAGGGCAGCTTGTGGTGCTGGGGATGAAATCACAGTCCCTGAGCTTGCCTAAGCAGGCACTTTAGTCCACTGAGCTCTCTTGCTGGCCCTGTGGTAGCTTTAAAAAAAAAATTGTTTTTAATCTTTTATTTCCTTATTTGGTACAGGGCCTCGCTCTGCAGCTTGAGCCTGTAGTGATTCTCCTGTCTCAACCTCCCCAGTGCTAGGATTGTAGGCATGCACCACCATGCCCAGTTTCGGTGGCCAGCATGGCACGCCCAGGGTTCCAGGCCTGGCACAGTATGCAGTACTGGGGTTTGAGCCTGAGTCCTTGTACTTGCCAGGCAAGCACTCAGACCACCGAGCTAGCTCCCCAGCTCCTGTGGTAGCTTTTAATACATAAATTTAAATTGAGTTTATACTGAAGGCCCTCAGATGACAAGCTACAGAGTTTATGATTGGGAGCCAAAAAATAATTTTGAGCAGTGGTTGGTGGTAAACAGGATTTTCAAAATTTAATTCAGTAGCTTCAAATTTTAAAATACATAAAGTAGTACTGAATATTATCTCTATGTGTCTGTCTTTCTGTGTGTCTCTTTCTCCCCCCTACTCTCACACCATAGTAACTGACAGAGGAGACTGCTGTTACCCAGGAGGTATAGAGGTTTATCCCATCAGCAAGCAGGTTACTTCTGCACTGGTGGACAGTGTGTAGATGTCCTAATCCAGTTCAGTTTTGACACTACCTGGAGATGGCATCTGATTCTGTAATCCAAGATGTTCCCTCCTCTGCCCTTCAGGTGCCTTTTATGCTCCAGAGTGTTGACATGTGCTTTTAGTTGACTTCCTAGATACAGAGGTTTCCACAGTCCTTTCCTTGGGTCCATTCTCCTGAGTAGAGCACAGGATCCAAGAAAAACACATGTGCGGGGTAGTAAAAGGGTATTACAAGGATTCGGGTGATCAGCTGCCCTGGCCGAGGTACGGGAAGGACGCAGGACTGTGATTTCGGCTCCTGACACACGACCCTCCAAAAGCCTCCAGGTCTCCGGCTCTCTGGAAACTCTCTGGGCCTTGTCCTTTCAAGTGTTTAGGGAGACTTCATTGTAGCTTAAGGTTGCAGCATGGATGACATGTAGAAAGTGGTATTATCTAGTTGGATGTGGTGGCACACGTCTGTGATCCCATCTATACAGAAAGCCAAGGGATTGCAAGTGCAGGGTCAGCCTGCGGAATTTAGCGAGGGCTTGTGTCAAAATAGAAAGGATGTAGAATTCCTCTGGGTGCAGTGCACAGTAGCGCACAAACAAAACTCGGTGTGATCTGTGCTGACAAGACAGCAGGGAAACTAAAGCCTATCCATTCAGATTCTCTGTGGCCCGTGCCTTCCCACTGTGGAGCTTCCTCTTCTGAAGCGAGGGGCTTATAATCTATGGCTCCAAAGTGGAGTGGGGTACAGTGTTTGTTACCTAGAAATAAAATTTTTTGTTTCTCTCTGCTTTGGGGAGAAAAGGGAACAGGTAGAAAAGCATGGTAAGAAAAGATCAGAGAGACTTTGCTGTGTGACCAGAGAGCACAAGATCTGTCACTTAGGAATTAACAAGGAAGTAATGAGCCAGGAACATGGGCAAAAACCAAAACATGTTTCATAGAGCCTTTTGGATGATCACATGCAGCACTAACATGATGTCATTGTGAAGTTTCTTATTTCATGATGTCATTGTGAAGATTCTGGTGAGTTCTGGTGTTCAAAGGACTACTTGGTGCAGAAATGATGTATGTCAGTCAGTAACCTTGATTGCTTGATTGCTGCTAGTGTGCGTGTGGTAAACGATTGGAATCAGGGAGAAAGACAGTAGCCTCGCTTCAGTGAAGTTATGGACAAATTAAATGAAGAACTTTTAATTAAATTGCTCACAGAGTATTGAACTTGGCTCCCCCCTCCCCAATTGAACTCAGGCCCTTGCACTTGCCAGGCAAGTGCTTATTCAACTGAGCTATCTCCCCAGCCCCTTGAACTTGGCTTTAACCCTGTTACATCTTTCTACTAGCTAGTGATGAAAAACAACCAGCAGAAACTTTTATTTTGGGTCCTGTGGACATTACTGGAAGAGAACATTTTATATTAGGCTCATGTGTTCCCTCAACTCCTGTGGTTTGCAGCCTGCTGAGCGTATGTTAGCACACGAATAACTAACACAGGTGGCTAAACTGTTGGAAGGTACAAAACCAAACCCTGCTTCAGGAAGCTCTCGGCTTCGCTCCTCTTTGGATTGGATTCATTTTTACTGGAAGTGACTTTCTCGTTTGTTTTTAAAATTTAATTTTTAACTGCTGTTTCTTCTTTCTTTCTTTCTTTCTTTCTTTCTTTCTTTCTTTCTTTCTTTCTTTCTTTCTTTCTTTCTTTCTTTCTTTCTTTCTTTTTGGCCTAGGTTACAAAACATCCTCCTATGCTTGAGACCTTCACACTACCCGTCCTACAGGAACTAATCAATGGTTTTTCATCTCCTGGAGCTACATTAGAAACAAAAATATGGTGCCAAAAGAACTCCTTATCTTTCTCTGACTGCAGTTTGTTGGACATGCTTTTGTACTGAAGAGAGGTGCACACACTGGCTGCTGGTACGGAGACTGCCGTGGAGGATCATGGACCATCCTAGTAGGGAAAAGGATGAAAGGCAACGGACAGCCAAATCCATGGCACAGAGGAGTGCACATTGCTCCCGACCGCCTGGCTCCTCCACGTCCTCTGGGGTTCTTATGGTGGGACCCAACTTCAGGGTTGGCAAGAAAATTGGGTGCGGGAACTTCGGAGAGCTTAGATTAGGTAAGAACTCGGTTCTGTCTGTGACTTTTTTGTAAAATAATCACCATAATAAGCTTTGGTGTGTTTCACAATAAGCAGTTGATAGTTTTATGGGAAATTTCTCTTTAAGCAAAACCTGTGGGCATATATAAGAAATACATAATTTATGCAGGAGACTGTAGTTATTATGAGCCATAATTTCATTCTTTAAGGTTAATCCTATGTGTGATAGGCTTTTAAATTTTCCACCAGTTCTTAGGTTTTATGATGCAGATAGATCTACATCCATGTTATCAATAAATCTAAATTCTGATTTAGTAGCTTCAAGTAAAGCCCCACCGTGCCAGGCCCCAGATTCCACTTGTAAACAATTTGCACATGATGCAAATGCTGTTGTCTCTCAAATGATACTTTAACATCCTTGCTTTAATTCTTATTGTGTAACACCCTGATGTAATCTGTAAGGCTGTATCCTGTCCAGAGAGATTTTACGGTTGGTACTGTTTCCTCGAGTTTACATCAGTAGGATTGAATTAGAACTCCAAGGAGAAATAATGCAATTTTATTTTGCATCCTATGACATGCATTCTCTATTTTAAGTTTGAATTTATGGGTGAGATCATGAATAATGACAGAATTAACCACTTTAACGCTAAGAGACTGTGAAAGAGTTTGCTGGTTATTTAATACTCTGTGATGGATCCCCCTGAGTGCACAGAGAAGAGAAAGTGAAAGACGTTAAAAGTAAGTGTGTTTGGAGAATGTGCAGAGGTCCCCTGTTAGGCTTAAGGGTTTTCTTTTTCTTCAGAGCTTGAGACTGTGAAGTCTCATGTGGCAGAGTTCATCCTTTGGTGAGAACACAGGACCATTTTTGTTTGTTACTTCTGCTGCTTCTGATAATTGTGCAGAACAGATGGGAAAAATCTTACCTTGATCCTCTGCAGTGACCCTTGGAAGATCAAAACTAGGAGGGATCTCCCCACAGGACTGAATTCAGGAGCGTTAAGAATGAATTTATTGGCCCATGCCAGCCACTGAAACGGGATGTGGTGATGCACACCTGTAATCCCAGCACCGGGGAGACTGAGACAGGAGGATCACTAAGAGTCTGAGCTGTGTAGCCAGACCCTGTACCAAGTAAATAGAATTCTACAGTAAAAAAAGAAAAAGAAAAGAATGAATTTATTTTTGCCGGAAGAAGGCTAGCAATTTGGAATTTCAGGACCTGATACTAGGATAATGAAGGGGTCTGTAAATTTAGAAATATATTCATGTTCTGGTTAGCAAAGCCAGCAGATGCTACTGAGAATAGGAGTAAGATGTGTAATTTCACACTGCTTGACTTCCTAGCAACTACTCAGTTGCTTTAGCAACTAGTTTCATGGATATTCATTTATGGAATGGAATTACTTTGTTTTAACATCGCAGTACTACTTGCATTAAATAGATTGTGGCATAAACATCCACAGCACTGGTGCTGAAAGACAGCTTCTAATGCATGCAGATTTGTGCGTGCTTATAACATCAGAAGATTGCGTAATTTCTGTGAAGGGGAAGAAAAGCATTGGCCGGTGAAACTGGAAATGTACTTAATTGCCGAGGTCTATATTTGTATGACTTTACATATGAATGGGGAAAAATTCCTTCATTAGAAAGGTAATGTTCTGGTCCATGTATATACGTCCAGATTAGGAGCATGTTATTTTATTTCTTCTAAAGAATCCAGGGTCGTTTTCATATTTCTCATGTTGACTTGACTTGTAGTTAATAGAAAGAGCTTTTGTGTGTGTGTATGTATGTATGTGTGTGTGTGTGTGTGTGTGTGTGTGTGTGTGTGTTTCCTTAGGTGGTTTTATCTCTTTTTTTGGCAGAACCAGGGATTGAACTCAGAACCTTGTGCTTGCCAGGGAAG